CTGCAGACACGCGGCTCCCTCCGTGTCCACGTGGCTCCCCTGCAGACACGCGGCTCCCTCCGTGTCCACGTGGCTCCCCTGCAGACACGCGGCTCCCTCCACGTCCACGTGGCTCCCCTACAGACAGTCTCAGCCACTTCCTGGGCTCCAGGGCCTTCACCGGGCTTCTGTGTTTTCTTCGTTAATCACCGAACATTAAACCTCAAAGCCCAAGTATACAGAATTGTCCGAACAACTGAATCCATTCCTTAAAATTACAAGTTCTTCCACCATTACGTTGCTTGGATTAGAGCTGCTAAGAAACGTGCCTTTAATATTTTATGTCACATAAAAAACTGAGGAGTGCAAGGGCGCCCGGGTGGCTCAGGTCACGATCCCAGCATCCCGGGATCGAGCCCCATGGCAGGCTCTCTGCTCAGCGGGGGGCCTGCTTCTCCCTCTGCCTCTGCCCCTCCCCCACACCGCTCACACTGGCGCACGCACTCTCTCTCTCAAATAATCCTTTAAAAAGAATCCTTTTCTTTGGATGGCACCCTAACAGTGACGTCACAGGCCAGGTGGCCCATGGGGGCAGCATGTGTGACACACAAACTTGTCAAGCCACCGAGTTGTGCACCTGAAAGTGCAGGAACACTGGTGTCAACGATACTCACGTTCAAAGAAAACCAATGAGCTGTCTTTGGAAATGCTCTCAGGGTTTGAGCACGATGCTGACGCCGCGTCCTTACTTATCCAGCCACGCCTGTGTCCGTGCTGTGACATGACACGGCTTGCTAATCCGGCGAGGGAAAAGAGAACTTGTTGGAAGTGCCACAGACTTCCTGGCCAGGTGGCAGATGTGCTAACTGACCGCACTGTGGGGTCGCTGTACCACGTGCACACATCGTACACCTCAGACTTACACCCGGTCGCGCATCAATTCCAGCGAGAACACAGCATTTTTACACGTCGGCTCCGAGTGGAACCGTGGCTGACTGTGGCTTCCCTCCTCCAGCGACGCCCTGGCTCTGAGCCCGGAGCACCGAGTCCTCCCATCGTGACCGTGAGCAGAGGACAGGGCCCCCGCTCTGTCACCAGGTGGCCGCGTGACCGGGTCCTCGGGGGAGGCACATGCAGGCCCGGCAGAGCTGCGGCAGGCGGCTCACACCACAGATGGGTCAGAAGGAGCCCAGCGCGCCGACGGGGCTGGTCTGGCGGGTGGATGAGCAGGTCTGCCACGGCGGGCAAGAAAGGTCTTGTTGGGGGGCGGGGAGGGCGGGGATGCTGCTGGAAAACAGGCTTGAAGGAAGCCTTGGGCCCATCCTCTGTAGACAGGCCCCCCGCCATGCTGAGGAGAGCTAGCAGATGGCGGAATGGACGGGACAAGCGAGTGTGGGCTCACTGGGGGCCCCCCAGGTGTGCACTTGGAGCTGCCCTACAGGAAGCTTCCAGTCTGGTACAGGAATACACGTGAGCTGGTGGAGCCGCTGGGCTGGGCCGGAGGTTGCCCGTCCACAATGCCCGCACCGCTACCCAAGTCCAGACAAGCTCCCTTCTCAAGAGCCACCGCCGGGAAGACGGAGACGAGCAGGGCAGAGTGCTCTACTCAACTCTGACGGGACGGAGCCTCCCTTTCAAGCAGCAGCTCCCGTGGCAAAGCCAGCTGGGCTCTCCACCGTGGCACGGTGGCCCTGTGCCCGCAGACAGCCCCACTGCCCGTGCCCTGCAGCTCGGTTCCCTGCGGGTGCCGGGCAGAGGGCGGCCCAGTCATGAGCACAGGCCACAGCTGTCTCAGGAAAGGCGAGAGGTCCATCTCCAGAACCAGACAAAACCCACAACCACTTCCCCACAGAGGGTCATGCGTTCTGATACCTAAACTCAGTTCAGGAAGGCTGACCCTAATTTTGTCTTTTGTGATTTATTACAACCCTGGCACCTGCAGGCCCCCAGCGGGCGCAGGAAGAGCTGGCCCTCCTCTGGGGACCCCGGAGCCCGAGTCTCCTGCAGCCCCCCCCAGCCCGCTGCACCAGGATCTCACCTGGGACGCCTGTCCCCACGCCCCCCAGGACAGCAGCTGACTCCGTCTGGAAACACTCACAGGAGACGTCGGTTAGAGCGCAGCTAGAACCAATGCAGCGGCCTGGGTGGTAGGACTCACGCCGCCCAACACCGCACCACCACGCAGCAGTCATGGCAGCCGCAGACGGAGGCCCATGGACACCGCACGCCCTGCTCCTGCCGGCCCTCACCTTCACTTGTTTCGGATGGATTTCCTTCTCCTTCATGGCTTCCAGCGGCCGTCCGAACCTTCCAGAGGTGGGAGGAGGCCCTGTAGGACTAGCAGTGGGGGTTTCGAGTCTTCCCGAACCTCGGTTTAGTATTTCTCCAAACCCTGAGCCATCACCTAAAAACACGGCACAAAGTCAAAGTCAAACCATAATCCTCTGGTGGCCTTCCTGGTGGGGGAGGGCCCGGGAGGCAGACACTTGGCAGTGACAGGGGTGCGGCCAGACTCCCACTTCCTGGTGCTGCGTGAGGCCCCAAAACACCCGGGAGAGCTACAGCCGGGACGCCCCTTCCTGAAGACATCCGCAGAGCACCAAAGAGAACAAAAGATGTTTTTACAAACCTGTACGATGACATAATTACATACATCAAGAAAAAGCGTATTTTGCATGTTTGGCATGTAAACCCATGACTCCAACATAAGCCTTAACAGTCTCTCAGCTCATCTGTAAACAGATGCACGAGTGGGTTTCCTCATCCCCCAAAGACAGGACCCCAAGCCCACAGGGCTCCCGCAGGAAGCGCCTGGGCTGACACACGTGTGTGGGATCCATACTTCCACACCCAAGGGAGGGATGAGGACAGGGCAGGATTCCGCTCGGGCACATGGAGAGGAGACGGGGGACAGGAGACGCACGGTACCAACCGCAGGGCCGTGTGAGGGCAGCAGGTCAAGCAGCAAGGATCTGGCCAGGAAAAGGGGAGCACGCCTGCTGGGGGTGTTTGGAGACCAGCCCTGAGACCAGCCGGGCTGGACGGCAGAGCCCTCTGGTGCCGAGGGTTCCAGATGCCAGAAACCCCACGGTGGGGCCTCAAAGAGGAGCCGCAAATGTGTCTGACGGACGCGGCACGTTCCTGAGCCTTGCAGAGGCTCGGAAAGCAGAGGGAGGCATCCAGGGAAAAGCAAGCTCAGCGTTTGCAGCTGCTTCTCTGACCAGCCTGGAGCGCCTCGCACAGACCTGGGAGCAAAGCTGCCGACGTGCACCCTGCTGAGGGGTGTGAGTTCTCAAACACGCCAAGGGCTACACAGAAGACAGTGTGGAACAGGGACTCGGAGACGGCTGGAGGAGCCAACAAAGCAAACACCAGGAAACCTTAGAAAACCAGAACATCTTCAGAGAAGTCAGTCTTGACGCAACAAGGAATTTTCAAGAAAAAGGACCAGAGAATACGAAAGAAGAGCTCTTTGAAGTTAAGACACAGCAGAATGAAAACATTTACTTCCAAGCTTAAGAAATAATTTCTTAAAAGCTTCTTTTAAGAACCTTTATTATCAAACAAAAGTACAAAGAAATGGAAACAAAGTGAGAAAGTAGGAAAATCAGTCCAGTGGTCGACAGAAGTACAGCAAGATGAGAGCCACGGGCAGGACCCAAGGAGCAACGAAGGCCTGTTCAGGGTGAAGGCTGCGCCCAGGCGTGTGGAGTCACGCGGTGGCCGCCGTGCTTCGCGACGCCAGGCTCTGGGACGCTGGTCAGACATGCTGGGGCCTGAGGGAACCTGACTTCTCACCTGCGAGTCTCCACCAAGCCCAAACTATCCACACTCGCTGGGAAGATGCAGAAGTTCTCAGAAAACCCACCTCACACACGCTTTCTCTGCGAATGCTTCTAGAGAGCAGAGTACTTAAATGAGGAGCACGAAGGAGGGACAAGGGGTCTGACCCGGAGAGCGGAGGCGGCACATTCAGAAGGGGATGGCCGCATGGGTAGCGCACACCCATGCTCGTGGACAGTGTGGCGGGACCCATGACGGAGAACAGGAGAGAGGCCACGAGAAAGGAAAACCAGCTGTCTGCGAGAGGACTCCGTCCCCGTGGTTCTGCGGGAATATGACCAGTGCACTCGAAACACAAACACTCTGGGGTGTGGGGACAGGACGGGACGATGAGGCCACCTTACAAAGACACAGAAGGAACGTATAAGGAGAACTGGCAACCAGAAGCTCACACATGTTGCCGTAAGTAGCAAATGTAATTTAGAGGGGCGCCTGGGTGGCTCAGAGGGTTGGAGCCTCTGCCTTCGGCTCAGGTCATGATCCCAGGGTCCTGGGATCGAGCCCCACGTCGGGCTCTCTGCTCAGCGGGGAGCCTGCTTCCCTTCCTCTCTCTGCCTGCCTCTCTGCCTGCCTGTGGTCTCTGTCTGTCAAATAAATAAATAAAATCTTTAAAAAAAAAAAAAAAAAAAATGTAATTTAGAAATAAATACCACAGCAGTTTCCCGAAGTTAAACATGGTGTCCTCAGGGAATGGTGGTTCGGCCGGGGCTGGGGGCACCTTGTGTTACCACTTCATTCTGGGACAGGAACTCACCACGTGGAATGACTCAAAACTAACATTAAGACGTTGCTGGCCCCACTCAGCACAGCGGAAACGCCCATGAACTTTACTTTGTGGTCTCGTTTTCAAAAGCACTGAGTTGAGTCAATGATGACTTTCTTATAAACGGTGGAAACATCTGAGGAGGTGACCGGCTTGTGAAAAACCAGTTAGAGAAGGACAAAATTAGGAGGTCATGGTTTGGCAACCATCCTAATGATGGCCCAGGCGACAATCACTCCTGGAGACTAACGTGAGCGGGTCCAAGTCAGTAACAAGAGATCATAGGCTGGCGGGGGCGCCCGGGGGCTCAGCGGGTGAAGCCTCTGCCTTCGGCTCAGGTCACGATCCCAGGGTCCTGGGATCCAGCCCCGCATCGGGCTCTCTGCTCAGCAGGGAGCCTGCTTCCTCCTCTCTCTCTACCTGCCTCTCTGCCTACTTGCGATCCCTCTCAAATAAATAAATAAAATCTTAAAAAAAAAAAAAAAAGAGAGATCATAGGCATGAGCTCCACGCAGCCTCCTGCCAACACCAAGCAATCAAAGACGGGAAATCAGAACAAAGCCTGGCAGACACCAAGGGGTCCAAGCGGACACAGGCCTCGTGCCGTGGTGCCCTGGGAAGACCACGGCACTGGTGTGCACACTCTCCGGACACCTGGGGACACCCACGCTGACGACGTTGCCACAGACCCCGACGAGATGCAGGACCTGCTGGCAAGGCAAAGGGCTTCCTCTCTGGCCCCCATGGCATAGCCTCCCTCCCACACTGCGGTGGCCAGCAAGGGACACCCAAGTGCCTCGTACCCGCACAGCACCCCTCCCGTGAAGGGCACCAATGGGGCGAGTGGCAAAATCTGAGGAGGGTCTGTAGTTGAGATGCTGCTGTGGGCCACAAGGAGGTCTGGGTGTGGAGTGCAGGTTTTGAAGGTGCACAGTCGGGATTTCCAGAAGAACAAGACCTCAGGCTTTCAAGTGCCACTAAGCACAGAGAGGAGACGGAGGCAGGCATGGCCAGGGTGCACCAGCAGGTGTAGCAAACGCCAGCCTGGAGGGCCTGAGGTTCCCTGAAACCTTTTAACAGTTTAAAAAAAAAAAAAAAAGACGGACTCACTGTTTTCACTTCCGTTGTTCTTCCCTTCAAACCCGAGAGGACAGGTTCTGGGCTTTTCTTGAGCATCAAGAGATGTTACGATAAAATCTTCAACATCTTTCTCCTGTTCAAACAGGCAAGTTTTTAAATGGTCATAAAATAACAACTTATCACATCAGGGAGCTGAACTAGCAGACGGAAACTTTCTAAGGCCTGAACTGATCATTTTCCCACACAGAACCCAAGTAAAAGTGTTTCACGCTTGGGAACGCACTGAAATCCTGTGCTTCTAAGAAGTTAAACAAACCCGGCCACAGTTCTCTAGGACTATTTTAAAGGAGTCACCAGCAAACATCTCAGATTAAAAATCAGTTCCGTGGTAGTCTGCGTACGGGTATCTCAGGTATCGTGGTCCCTGTAACTTGTTTTTATCTAATCCAGGACGTGCAAGATCGCAATAGTATTCTCTAGGAAAAGACACAGTCCAACTCAAAGATAACTTTTTGAGATTAATGAGCATTAGATGTAGAGCCTAGTAAGAAATACACCCGAAACCAATCTAGAAAACACACCCTAGACAAAGAACCTGAATGACTACACACACCGGCGGGTCTGGGGCCGCGCTGCTCGCGTCCGCGCTAGTGAGCGCATGGAGGCCTGGCACATCTGAGCAGGACTCGTGCACCGCACATGCTTCCAGGAACGCCTCAAGTCCTCTAATTATTCATATTACAACCGACTGGGAACGAGGCTGCAGGAAGCCGGCTGTCCCTACACGTGGCTGACCAGGGCACTGCCGTGCACACCCACGCCGGGGCCGCTGGCCCCTCAGGAGATGAGCCAACAATGGCTGCAGCTATGATACCGCAGACGCTGGGGACACACCCCCTCGGGAACACTCTGGGGCCTGGGCAACCCGCGGACGCCAACCCAGGGCAGCGGCCCCGGAAGACCACTTACCACAGACACCCACTGCACGCGGCGGTCAGCGGAGGGCGTCTTGTCTGCAGCCACGGGAGACGCTGCCCCCCCGGAGGCCGCTCCTGCTGCGGACCCACCCAGGTACCCGAGCAGCTCCGCCTGGTCTGCCTGCAGCGAGGAACTGGTCCTGTCCCGCAGGGAGGCGTCCAAGCTCAGGGCGTCCGAGCACGGCGTCAGGGGCAGGCTGGGGGCAGGCTCAAGGGTCGAGTCCTTCCTGACAACCTCCGGCGAGCTCCAGGAGGACAGATCCATTGCCCGGAGTGCGTTCTTCAAGGGCGCGGGCCTCTCAGGATGGGCCAGGTCACGGAAGCCACCGTGGAAGCCTGCTTGTAAACAAGGTGACCCATCCTGCAAATCAACCTGGTCCTGCTCGGGAACATCTGACATTTCATTTTTTATCAGTGGATCCTGACTTCTACGGAGGTCAGTCAGATCACACGTGGTTTTCTCGATATGAGACGTATCAACAAGAGACTTCTCCGTTTCTTCACCATTATCAGAATGATCACTCCAACTGTTTTCTAGAGCACGTGGAGGCGCCACTGGCTGCTGAAGTCTGAAATCCTCTGTCTCGGTGTTCTGGGAGTTCACAGAATACAGCAAATGGTTCAACTTTTCTTGCAGTTCTTTCACCTGACTTAGGAGACCAACTTTCCGCAGCTGACAATCTTCCAGGAGTTCTCCCTTATTCTGCATGTAAAAAGGAACAGGCATAAAGTGAAATAATTGAATTACACCTAGTCTTCTCTGTCTGTCTGGTTTCTATAAGCCAGTTTCAGAACTTCCTGAGCACTTATGAAGAAGCCTCCATGATGAGCCCTTGGGAGGAGATTTCAAGCTTTTTTAATTCCATGAAAGACAGAATCACAGCTGAGAGCTCCTTGCCTGTGAGCTGACTGCTGCAAAGGACTCTGGGAAGGTGGTAGAGCAGGAAGCAGCAGGAATCGGTCTCCTGCCCGGGCACCTGCACTGGCAGAACCGTGCCTGCTGTGTATAACTCTGGAGGCTGTCCAAGGCTTGCACCTTCCAGGGGGAGGCTTGGAGGGTAAGCTGAGTCAGTCTGGGTCAGTTCCAGCTCCTAGCACAGCAGCAGCTACCCATCCCTGGACATCCAGCCCCTCGGCAGGCTGGGGTGCGCCTACTCCTGGAGCATCTCGCACACAGCCTGCAGCACCTGGGTGGGCAAAAAGGACCCTGTCCTCCAAACACTGGGCATCTGTGCTCCGCTTCGGCTTCTGATCGCAGCCCAGAGGCAAAGTGGTGGGAAGCCATTGTTGTGGCCTCTCCCCCTCCGGCTGAAGTGACTGCCAGAGGATTTAAAGGGCCACTGTCCTTCTTCCCCACCACAGCATTTTTCTTTTTGAGGAAAAACTAAACAGTAGAACATTCAAAAAACAACTGCATATAGAGAGGAAATGAGAAAGTGACTGCGTGTGCCCAGGCGAAAGTGCAAACTAAGAAAATATCTGAACAGACCTGAAGTTTAAACCTCAAGCTGATCCTCAGCATAGAGACAATCTACAACAATTTAAAAAAAAACAACAAAAAACAAAAACAAAAAATAGCAAATTATGAGTAAGTAGGAGATTCAGATTTCCAAATATATAGTAGACTCAAATATTCACTGTGCAAACACATACCAGAAAAAAAAGTATCCCAAGGCATATAAGGAAACAGGAAAGTATGGCCTATTCAAAGGAAGAAAACAAACCCAAAAGAACTGTCCCTGAAAAAGACCCAATGTCGGATCTACTAGTCAAAAACATTAAGACAACAGGCATGAAGACATTTGAGGACCTAAAGGAAGATGTGGAGAAGATCAAGAAAGTGATGTGTAAACAAAGTAGAAATATCAAAGGAGAGAAGGAAAATATAAAGAAACCGAAAAGAAATTACAAAGCAGAAAAGTAGATTAATTAAAATAAAAAATTTACTAACGGGATTCAAAGACAGATTTGAGGAAGAGAAAGAACTGAACTTAAAGACAGAATAATGGAAATGATCATGGCTGAGGAAAAAAAGAGAAGATTGACAAAAGTGAATTCAGACAAAGGGACCTGTGGGACAGCGGCAAGCAGACCAAAATACGCATTGTAGGAGTCCCAGAGGACGAGAGAAAGGTGGCTGAGAGAATACCTGAGGACATACTGATGCAAAGTTCCCAGAATTGATGAAAGACACAAATATAAACATCCAAGAAACTCAACATACCCCAAAAAAGATGAATTCAAAGAGAGACACACCAAGCTAGGTGATAACCAGATGCATAAAAGCTAAAGGCACTAACTGACTTGTCACACACAAGGATCCTCAGTAACATCACCAGCAGGTTTTTCCTCAGAGACTCTGGCGGCTGGAGAACAGCAACTCGGTATATTCCGAGTGCAGAAAGAAAAAACCCTGTCAACGAAAAATCCAACATCCAGCGAAACTGTCCTTGAGCGTGAGGAAGAAATTAAGATATTCCCAGGTAAATAAAAGCAGGAGTTTGTGACCACTCCACCTGCCCTCCAAGGGCGTCTGTACGGCAAAACACAAGGTCACCAGATGGTGGGAACTCAAGGTCACGTGGCAAAGTAAAGACCTCAGTAAAGGTAAGTGCGAGCACAAGAAGAAAAGCCAGTGTATACGATGGTATGCCTGAAACAGAACACTGTTTGTTCAAATACATGAATTTTTTAAAAAGTTTGTGCTGTTATGACAGTGGTTTGCAACTCCACATTTTGTTTTCACTGTGATTTAAAAGACACATTTTTAAAAAGTTAATGGTCTAAAAGTCAGTATTATTAACTTCAGTTTGTAACTCCACATTTTTTCTACATAACTTAAAAAATTAATGAATATAAAACAATCATTAGTTTATGCTTTGAGGCACACAGGTATAAAAATGTACTTGGTCACAACAAAAACCAAAAAGGGTGGGGCAGAGCTAAAAAGGAACAGTTTTCAATAGTTAGGCTGGTATAAATTCAAACCACAGTGTTATAATGCTGGGTTCTGAATGTAATGCCTAACGGAACCACACACACACACACATACATAGCTGTTGTATATACATAAAGAAATGAGGGGCGCCTGGGTGGCTCAGTGGGTTAAAGCCTCTGCCTTCGGCTCAGGTCATGATCCCAGGGTCCTGGGATCGAGCCCCGCATCGGGCTCTCTGCTCGGCGGGGAGCCTGCTTCCTCCTCTCTCTCTGCCTGCCTCTCTGCCTACTTGTGATCTCTGTCTGTCAAATAAATAAATAAAATATTTAAAAAAAAAAAGAAATGAAAAAGAACTTAAAGATTTCAGTACAAAATGTCAACTAAACACAAGAGAATACAGTAATGCAGGAAATCAGAACCAAAAAAAGCTATATAAGGCATATAGGAAACAGAGCAAAATGACAAAAATACATGCTTCCTTATCCATAATTACTTTAAATATAAGTGGATTAATCTCTCCAATCAAAGCCAGAGACCGGCAGAAAGGATAAAAACACATGATCCTGGGGCGCCCGGGTGGCCTAGTCGGTTGGGAGTCTGACTCCTGATTTCAGCTCGGGTCTTGCTCTCAGGGTTGTGAGATCACAAGTCCCACTTCAGGTTCATGCTCAGTGGGGAGTCTGCTTCACCCTCTGCCTCTTCCCCCCATATGCTCACGTGATCTCTGTCAAATAAATTAACAAAATCTTTGAAAGAAAAAAGATAGAAGCACGAGGTTGCCTCCTGACTCATGGCAAGAGCCCAGCATTACCTTGATACTAAAGCTAGAAAAAGACACTACAAAAACGAAAACTACAGACCAATATCCCCTATGAACTTTGATACAAAAAATTCTAAAATACTAGCAAACTGAATTCAATACCATACTAAAAGGATTACACACTCTAACCAAGCAGTATTTACTCCTGGAATGCAAAGACAGTTCAACATAGGAAAACCAGTCTACATAATACACATTAGTAAAATGAAGGAGAAAAAAAGTCACGCGATTGTCTCAATTAGTGCAGAAAATGTGTCTGACAATGTTCAACAGTCCTCTATTATAAAGACATTCAACATACTAAAAGAAAACTACCCTAACATATAAAACCCATACGTGAAAAACATACAGTGTACATCGTACTCAATGGCGACAGACTAAAACGTCTTCCTCTGACACCAGGAACACGTGAGAAACCCTGCCTTCAGCACTTCCCTTCAACACAGTACTGGACCTCCCAGTCAGAGCAATTTTGTAAGGAAAAAGACATAACATGTGTCCAAGTTGGAAAGGAAGAACTGAAATTATCTATGTCCCAAGATAATATGATTGTGTATGTACAAAACAAAGATTCCATTATGAAAAACCCCATTAGAATTAATATATCAATTCAGCAAAGTAACAGGATACAAAGCAAACATACAATAAATCAGTCGCATTTCTACACACCAACAATAAGCAATCTGAAAAAATGAAGGAAATAATTCCATTTACAATAGCAACAAAAAAGAAGAAAATAAGAATTCACTGAACCAAGGAGATGAAAGTTTTGTACAAGGAAACTATAAAACACTGATGAGACAAATTACAGAAGAGAAATAAACGGAAACATATTTCACACATATGGATTGAAAGACCTACTAGAACTGTTAGGATGTCAATGCTAACAGTGATCTACAGGTTCAAAACAATCCCTGTAAAAATTCTAAGGATGTTCTTTGCAGAAACAGAAAAACCTATCCTAAAATTCAAAGAGTCAAAACAGTCCTGGAAAAGAACAAAGCTGGAGGACTTAGAATTATCTGACTTCAAAACTTACAACCAAGCTACAGTAACCGAAACAGTGAGGTATCGGTGCGGGGCTCAGTCTGTTAAGCGGCTGCCTTCAGCTCAGGTCATGATCCTGGAGCGCCAGGGCTAATGGCGGGCTCCTTGCTCAGCAGGGGGTCTGATTCTCCCTAACCCCCCCCTGCCTACCCCCTCCCCTATACCCCCCCCCCCCCCCCCCCCCCCCCCCGCTCCTGCTCTTTCACTCGCTCTCTAATACATAAAATCTTTTTTTTAAAAAATGGTTAAGATGGGGGCACCCAGCTGGCTCAGTGCGTGGAGCGTGCAACTGCTGGTCTTGGGGTTCTAAGCAAGCCCCAGGCTGGGTGTAGAGATCACTTACCAAAAAATAAAATCTTTTTTAAGATTTATTTTTCAGGAGTGCCTGGGGGGCTCAGTGGGTTAAGCCTCTGCCTTCAGCTGAGGTCATGATCTCAGGGTCCTGGGATCGAGCCCCGCATCGGGCTTCTGCTCAGCAGGGAGCCTGCTTCCCCCTCTCTCTCTGCCTGCCTCTCTGCCTACTTGTGCTGTCTGTCAAATAAATAAAATCTTAAAAAAAATTTTTTTTTTTTCAAAAAATAATTTATTTTCCCATATGAGAGAAAGAAAACATGCACGAGTGAGAGGGGCAGAGGGAGAAGAAGAGGGAATCCAAGCAAACTCCCAGTGAGCACAAAGCCCGACAAGGGCTCGATCTCACCACCCCGAGATCATGACCTGAGCCGAAACCAAGAGTCAGACGCTCAAACAACTGAGCCACCCGGGGACCCCAAAAATAAAAGTCTTTTTAAAAAAGTGGTTAAAATATAACTCTTAGGTTGCATGTATTTTACTACATACACTAAAAAGGTAACTGTTCTAACCTACTTCTGTGGTAGTTCACTTAAAACAATAGCATTTTTCCTTTTTTTTTTTTTTTTAAGGGAAAAAGGGCCTGGAAGATTCTAGATGCAAACACTGAAAAATGTAAAATTGCAGGGGGCCCGGCTGGCTCAGCTGGAAGAGCGTGGGGCTCTTGATGTCAAGGTCACAGATTCAAGCCCCACACTGGGTGTACCGATCACTTAAAAACTAAAAGATAAGAAAAGAAGAAAGAAAAATATAAAATTGTGACTTAGGGAGTGAATCTGCAATTTCCCTGTCTGTGTGTAACTGCTAAGAATCTGGCAACCAGCTCATAATCACACAGCTGAGCTTTCCAGTAAGAATTCAAACAAATGTTCTTATCCCAAGGGCAATGAGAAGTTTGCGGGGCAGAGTCAGAAAGTCCTCTCCAAACGGAATTAAACGTCCTGCGGAGATCTGATAAACACAGACAAACCCAAGCATCTTCTATCAAAACCGCAGGCACATGCCACACACCCACTCTGAGACCACTGGACCAATCCCTGCAGAATTCAGAACCTCATTTTACAGTAGGACTGTGGTGCATACGGCACGTCCCAGAAGAGTTCCCGGGCAGGGAGAGTGGGAACATCCTTGTCAAACTGTGCAGTGTCTACACCAATGCAGTGTCTACACCAGCAGGTTTATGGAAGGCTCACGAGATCCTGGGCCAGAGCAGGCCACAGATCGAAGCACACTTTGCGCTTAGGAAAACCTCCAAACCAGCCAGCCACTTCCTATGTTCAGAACATCTCAACCCTGAGACACCTGACGTGGCCAGCGTGCAGCCTTCCCCACAGGAAAAGAAAAGTCAGCTCTCCTGGGGCAGCCCTCGCGGTGACCGGAACCCCAAACGGTTGCATTCTTGATCACTGCGCTCTTCTCTGCTGGGAGCACGAACCAAAGTACGGAGGAAAAAACCCTGAGGTTCAAAAAATAAACACGAGCCTTTCGAAGTAACCGACGCTGGTGATAAAGGCCTTGAGCCACAGAGCAGCTGTGTGGGCAACCTGTCCTCACGGGAACACCCTAGAGACAGGCCTCACAGCACAATAAAGTCCTCCTTGCATCATGCTGGAGAAGTACGCGATTGCTTGTCTCCACAGGCTGAAAAGACCACGGGAAAGGAGCGCGTCTAGAGGATTTCTGAAGCGAAGCTACAGAAGTTCAGAACCGATCTGAACAGACGCGCGGAACCCGAGAGGGCCGCCGTCTTGTGTAACGTGCATGTCCCTCCACAAAAGCGTCAGAGACGTCTCTGCCACGCGGCAGCACGGCTACGTGCCACGTACCTGCAGCCCTCCTGGCCCTCGGCTGTGGTCCTCCGTCCTCACGTGCATCTCGTTCTCTGCCAAGAGCAGCTCCGACTGCAGGTGCTTCTGGCAGGCAGCCAGCACCGACATCACGCTGTCCTGTCTGTGCAGAGCCGCGGGGCGGAAGCACCCTGGGGCCTTGGCCGGCTGCGAGTCCTCGGGAGCTGCACACTACAGCAAGCAGAGAAAACACCGACAATGATGCTAAAGGCACCGAGTCGGACGTGCCCGAGCCCCGTCCCTGGGCTCCGTCGGGCTCTCGGAGCTCTGGAGCTGAGGCGTCAGCCGGCAGGACCCCGAGGGAACGTCCCCGTCTCCTAGGCATCTCCTCAATCAGACCAGAGCCATGCCCCCCAGTCCTGCTGCTTGCTCGCGGCCACCGCAGGTCAGGACACACCCCAGCTGGGCCACCCCACGATGCACGGGCCAGCGGGAGCGGCTCTGGAGTGGCACAGGGCAGCAGGCAGTGAACCGTGACTTCTACTCCAAAGCAAAGTGCAGCTCATCCCAACATGACGTGAGCTTGACTAGAGAGCCCAGGAGGGAAAACCCAGGGACCCTGTGCAAGCCACAGCCATCTCCGTCTCATCAGATGCTCCCAACCACGGGCTCCGAAAGCCTTGAGTGACAACAACGGTAGGTTTAGAGCTGTATGGAACAGGGAACCCTCCGGTCCGATTCCACCGTCGAACCACAGTCTGAAACCCGAGCTTCTGTGGCGCCTAACCACACCCAGGAGCCCTGAGCCTCAGCTCCACTCGATGCATCAGGAGCTGCCCACGAAACCACCACCCCCGCTGCCACAGAAAGGACACCCGCTCCAGCTCACAGACAGAAGACTTCAGCAACGGGAGGTTCTTCAGGGAACCCGTAGCCCCCTCTGGTCCAGCCCCAGTGCTTGGCCACCCGCGGCCTGCATCAGGGCCTCTCACAGGCGCCAAGGGCCTGCTGGCTCTGCGTGTGTGCTCTTACTCCCCGCCCCCCCCCACACCCCTGTGCCCGCCCCCACGTGCCCCTGCTTCCCCCTGTGCCCCATATCCCCCGTACACCCCTGTACCCATGTGCCCCCGCACGCCCGTGTCCCCTGCGCCCCCCACACAGACAACAGGCCTCCGGCACACCAGCAGGAGGGAGCGCAGCCCACCTGTGTGTCCCCAGCCTGGCCCTGCGGGTCTGTGGGCAGCTGCGACTCTTCGTCCCACGAGGCCCCTGCAGCCCTGGGGCCCTGTCCCTGGGGGCGGCCCTCCACGCTCGGGTGCCGGTGGGCCGCCTGCGCCTGCTGCCCGTCCAGCTCCCCCTGGCAGCTGAGGAAGCGCAAGTGCAGCCGCTGCAGCTGGCGGCCGAGGCGGACACACTGGGCCCGCAGCCGCCGCAGCTCGGGGGGCTCGCCCTCGGCCTCCATGGCCAGCGGCTGCTGCTCCAGCGCCAGGCGGAAGCGGGAGAAGGCCGCCAGGAGGGTCTCCATCTCCGCCGACAGGGCCAGTTTCTGCCGCTTCATGGCGTCGATCTCTGAGTCCCTTTCCGCGATCCTGGCCTCCTTTGCCTCCAGGGCGGCTTCGAAGGCCTGGATCTGGGAGGCCAGGCCCTGGACCTCTGACTCCCCGCGGGCCGCGCAGCGCTCCAGTTCCGCCAGCTGCGTCGCAGCGGCCTCCTCTGCAGCCCGTAGCCGCTGCTGCTGGCCCTCCAGGGCCTGGCTGTGCCTGCACTCCTGCTCCGCGAGCAGCTGGCCCACGGCCCCCGCCGCCGCCAGCGCCTCGGGTCCCACGGCGGGGACGGCTGGCAGCTGGCCGCCCTCAGCCCCGGGCCCCGCGGGCCCCCCGAGCGAGAGCTCTCTCTGCAGCCTCTCGATGACCTCGTGCAGCCGCTCCGTCTCCTCTGCCTTCTCTCTCTGCAGGCGCCGCTGGTTCTCTCGCAGGTTCTCAATGATGGATCTCAGCTCCTCGACCTCGGAGCTCCTGTCCTGCAGGACCTGGGGAGGAAGCACGGTCAGAGGGCAAAGCCAGGCTCCCCCTTCAGAGCGTCTCTCCTCAGCCTGCGGACGACTTCGCGGCTGTGGGCACGGTTACAACCCCCAGGAACTGCCGCGGTGCCGCACTCTGGCACGTCCGGTGCACCGAGCCGCTCGGAGTCACACAGTGGCTGCCCAACCACCTGCTCGGACACTTGCCGTGTCCGACACGTACTGTACCACCCCTGCTGCAGGCAGGGGCGCGGACCGGCCACTTTTTCACCTTCGGCATGTGTGTTCTTTGTATCTAAACTTTACAAGTCATGAGTAAATTCACTAGGGACCCGTCTAACACTAGAAGAACCACCAAGCAAGGAAATAGGCTTGGGAAGGAGCACTACCGACGGCCAGGACCAAGCCAGGCGCACGGATGGGGTCACGGGGCCTCGGTCACGGCCGCCCTAGCTGCTCCAGGCCGAGGGCTGGGCCCCCTCACGTGTCGGAGCAAGCTTCTCCTCATGCCGCTGAGTGCCGGCCTCCACAACCGTAAGGTAGGAACTGTTCTCATGCGCGCTCTGGAGTTAACACAATTGAAACTCAGACGTTCAATATCCTGCCAAGACTACGAAGACGGAAAGTGGGAAGTCAGGCGGAAACGGTCCCCAGTAAAGCTCCAAGCTCCGTCCTCGTGAGGCCGAACCACCAGTGACACTGACCAACTCAGGCTCGGCAGACGAGCCTCAGCCAACTTCTCACACTCCAGTGTCCGCTTCCCAAAAACCGAGGGTTTCATAACAGTTCTTGGTCTCGTTACTACCATCTCGTGCCTTTAAATTCAAGATCAAACCTGGCCCATACTGAACACAGAAGTAAGAAAACAGATGGCTTTCTGGTTGTGACTCTGATGGCGCGAGCGGTCCCTGGGACACACACCTGTGCATCTCCATGCGGAGTTCTGACCAGTCCAGTTAGCCAAGGGCACTCTGGCGGCTCAGGCGAGACTCACGGCCAGCCCCGGGACGCCCCGCACTTCTGGAGCACCAACGGGGGTCTCAGGAGTGACACAGTCCGCTCACAACGTGGGCGTACCACTCACCGCACCAGGCACACACCACAGAGCAGCCCCACCACAACACACACAGAAACCAGTATGGGAGGTGGTTGTAACCCCAAAACCAAGATGACTCCTCCGGGGTTCCGGACAGATGGGGCAGGCAAAGCCAGTGAGGGGCAACACGGGTTGCCCCAAAACAGGAAAACTGCGCAGGCTGGGAACGGAGAACACGGGCGGACACGTGGGCCGAGAGCATGCACGTCTGGTCTCCGGGATCTCTGGCTCTGGCTGAGGCAGCTCCTTTCCAAGCGGGGCCCTACAGAGGGCCGAGGCCTGAGAGCCCCCACCCCAGGGCGGTCAGCAAGGGCGCTCATCCCTCGACGAGCGAGGTTCTGGCGCAGGACTGTGGTCTGGGTGTGCAGCGCCGGGAAAGGCCTACCTCGCCAAGCGCGCCACCTCCCATGCCGGCCAGCTGTGCCCCGAGCTGCTCGCTCACACGCACGATCTCATCCTCTTTGTTCTGCAGAAACGCCTGCAGGAACACAGTAACCGGCCATAACCGTGCCAACGAAACGGGGCCTGTGTGCGGGAAGCACCCCGCCTGCCCGCAGCTCAGCCTGAGAACGGTCTCCTGTTCCCACTGACGAAGCAGGAATCCCCCGGAGAGACGCCTGCTGCCTGCGACTGGCCCACAACCCCGCTGCCACGGACGTCACACACGGACGTCACACACGTGGCCTGGGAGCGCCCACACAAACCACAGGCCAAGGGTCTTCCGGCGCCTTCCGCTCACGCCGACAGCTGCTGGGCACCATAGGCAAGGGCTCGGCACTAAGGCCGTTTCTTTACAACTTGATTATTCACTAAAGCACGTTACATTAAGATGACAAAGAAGATTTAAGAACCGTTTTATAGGAGAGTGCCTGGGCGGCTTGGGTGGGTAAGCGCCTGACTCATGATTCCCGCTCAGGTCATGGTGTCGGGGATGGGAGGTGAAGCCCCGTGTGGGAGTCTGAGACTCTCCTGCTGCCCACACGCCCACCCCATGACCAGCCAACCAACCAATCTCTTTCTCATCCTACTCTCATGAGAGATTAACAGCGAGCAACTACTTAGTAAAAGTCACCTCTTCTACAACAGGGTAACCCTATCATGACCCAAATCAGGCCAACGCTGATGGTTAATTTCTTTATAGCTTCCGTCATCGGACAGGTGCGTCTCTCCTCTAAAAGACGGACTCTCAGAGCCGTAAGCAGGATGCAGAGGATGCGCAGGAGGGACGCAGGCCACTGTCCCCTTTGGTGGCTCGGGGCTCCACCCTGGCTGCCGACCTCAGCACAGAAGGTCAGCGCCTCCTAAACACGGAGAGTGCGTGCGTCCTTAAGCCATGGCCCTGGTGGGCCACAGCGCTGGGGTGAGCAGCACCCCCGCAGGCATCCGGGCGGTGCCCCAGTTTACCTGCAGGCTGGTGTTCTCCTCCTGAAGCTCCCACGCACGGGCAGCTCGGCTGCTCTGGGCCTCCAGCTTCGAGTTCAGATGCAGCACCTCGTCGCTCTTACACGCTAAGTCATCTTTAATCTTTTCCAACTGCTCTTTTAGGTCCAACACCTTTTAATAGAACAGAAAACATCTGAGAGGATCTCATATTCTACCACTCCATCGTTACTAAAATTACTTTAAAATATTTAAAAGTACATGCCACGAAGAGTCATCATTGTTCTATAACTGTTAAAATTACGGAGCTCTCCAGCAGTCACAAACCGCTCACAGACCAAGTGAGGGTCCCGCCCTGCCAGCAGCCCCGAGCGGGCGGAGCCCCAGAGCTCCCACACTTGCCTCGTGCTCTCGCTGCCGGAGCACCCTCTGCACAGCGTCTGACTGGACTTCGGGGCCCTCGGGACGGCTGCCTGCGGGAGGCACCGGTTGCAGAGTGGACATCAGAGGCAACTGGCTCCTCTGCTGCTCCTCCAGCGCCTCCTTATCCTGAGGAAGAAGAAAAGGAGGTTTATTCTCAGTAAGTATCTCAGGAATCGGGGGCCTCGAACTGTGATGTGAGTGCACAGTGCCCTCAGACCTTCCCGGCGCGCCGCTGAGCACGCCTGTGCACGCCAGCTGTGACAGCCACACGCCAGCTGCGCTCCAGAGAGCGCGCCCCTGGTGAAGACGGGATGCCAATCAGAGCCGTAGCGTGTGCCCGGGATGCCACCGCTAATTATTCAGGTAGGTGCAAAACAGTCTCTAGACTACTGACTATCACAAAAAAGAAAAAAAAAAAAAAAAAAAGTAAAGAACTTGTCCGAGCACAGGAGAATGACTGACAAGGACATTGTACATCTGTATGATGCACATTAACATCTCATCAAGAAGTTTCCAAAGAACATCTACTAGGGAGAAATTAGTCACAAAAAGTGAGAAAGTTACATAAGTGGTTCAACTTTGTAGAAGGAAAAAGGGCATCGTCTCTACCTGCAGCATCTGATAAGCTCCGGAAATGTTTGCTAAGGGAAGGAGAAAGGAGATGGAAGAGGGAGAAAAGATGGAGGGAGCAGAGATGGAGGAAGAGGGAAGAGAGGTGAAGGGAGGAGGCATGGAGGGAGCAGAGGTGGAGGGAAGAGGGAGGAGGGATGGAGGGAGCAGAGGTGGGGGGAGGAGGGAGGAGGTATGGAGGGAGGAGGGATGGAGAGATCAGAAGGGGTCTTTCAGCTCTGCTGCCACCCCGGACCTCTGGGGAGTGAAGCCCCAGAAGAACCCCGAAGACTGGGTTTAGGGAGCTCCCGGCCTGGGAAACGTGCAGGTGGCGCGCCTGGAGGGGGCACAGGGGCCCCACTGCCCTCCCCCCGCGGCCCTTCCCCTCCACCTGGCTGCTCCCAAGTTCCACCCTTTCACAGTAAGTCCACAGTTTCTCTGGGATCTGTCAGCCGCTCTAGCAAGTCAGCTGAACCTGAGGTCGTCACGGGAACCCCAACTGATCCAACCGGATGTGGGAACGACCCCAGAAGGGATGGAGCCCCTTGGCCACGGGGGCTAATGCCACCTTCCAGGCGGACGGTGTGTGAACAAGGGAGCCCGAGAACAGGCGGTACGCGGGCGCATGAGGCCTGGTGGCTGGAGGGATGGGCTGGGAGTGACGCGAAGCACGGCGGGCGCAAGGAGACTCTCCCCTCGGAGGCCGTCAGGCTGGGGGTGTGGGGCAGGGGTGCTGCTACACCTGCTGCAAGGCTTTCACGGCATCCCTCTGCCTCTCCAGTTCCTCCCGCAGCGCGGCCGCCTCTCTCCTGCAGCTGGCATTGGTCTCCTCCAGACGCCGGATCTCCTCTTCCTGGACTAGCATCTGTCTGTCCACCAACTCCTTCTTCGCAGCCAACTCATTAAACCCATCTGATTTCTCTCGCAGCTTTTCTTGTAACAATTTAACCTAAAACAACAAAAACGCTAAGAAATGCAGGAGTGAAAACAGCGATCTTTGCAGAGGAAAGCGCGGCCCGCGGCAGAGCAAACACTGACCCCTGCAAGCTTGTCTGCGGGGAGGGGCTCTAGGAGCCAAGAGACAGTGTGGGGAAGCCGTGACGCGGGCATTCTCTCAGAAAGACGCAGAAAAACACAAGCCCAAAATGTATCCGTAAAATAAGGTTAATTTTGTCGGGAGAGACACTACTGGGCAAGGAGAGAGAAAAACGCCAGGCAGGGCGGCCCCCAGGGGGGCTCCAGACTGGGACCAGGAGCAGGTCAGTCCCAGACGGCTCACACCACTTGGTCCCCTCGTGTAACTGTGTGGATGACACAACCAGCACCGAGGGCAGGGGCGTGGGTGGGAGGGGCCCCCATGCCGAGCGGTGGGCTCCGTCTCAGTGGGCGTCACCCTGAGGAACTGGGTGACGGCTGCACCGGGCGTCCGTCCTACTGCTCACACCCAAACATGAGTCCACGACCGTCTCAAAACGTGCTCGGTGTTTGAAAAGAATAGAGCGAATCCACGGCAGCCACGCCGGCAGGTCTGGCTCCAAGACAGAAACAGGCCAGCCCGTAGCAGCTCTCCCTCCCCACTGGCCACGCAGGGGTGAGGCGGGAAGGCAGCAGACCCACGACGCACGGTACCTCCTCATCCAGCTGCTCCTGCTGCCGTTTTCACACACATGGAAAAAAAAAAGTCATTCAAAAGGTTAAGTCTTTAAAATGCTCCCGAGACGGTGGCCGGGCGGGCACTGCGCGTGGCGGGCTGACTTACGTCGCTGATGCAGGAGCCCCGGGGCCGCGGCCGGGCCACCTGTCGGAGCTGCTCCTCCAGCCTCTGGATCTCCCGCTGGAACTCCTCCCGCTCATGCTCCCTCTCAACAGCCTGCTCCTGTGGGGAGAGAGGCAGGCAGCCTGGAGACGTCCGATGCCCTGACGGGACACAGCACTTCTCCCCCAGGACGGAAGGGGGACGGCGTGGGGTCAGAAGAGAAGACCGCCCACTCAGACGCGGACCGTCCAGGGGGCCTCTCACACCGCGCCTGGCCTTCCCCTTCCCACACGTGTCCACTGGCCAGGCTGGGGGCTCCCTGTCACGGGACTCTGTGAACCGAGCTAAGGGAAGAGGCAGCCCGGCAGGTACAATGACAAGGACTTGCAGAACGTGGACAGAAGGGCATCCCCGGGGCGCCATGTTGCTGAGCCACCTGTCCTCGGCTCGGGACAGGGTCTCAGGTCCTGGGGTCAAGCCTCGCATGGGGCTCCCTGCTCAGCGGGGGGCCTGCCTCTCCCCCTCCCCGCTTGTGCGTTTGCCCTCTCTCCTCCTCGAATAAATAAAACCAGAAGGAGGGACAGAGAGAGAACGAACAGCCACGGACAGCAGACAGCTCAGGCCCGACCGGGGGAGTGCTGGGTACACAGGGCCTGCCAGGTGGGTGGTCGGAGAGCCCCCTGAACCCCACACGGGCCCACGGCAACAACCCCTAGGACACGCACAGAGAAGCAAAGGGACCACAACAACGGGGCTGTGCACGGGCCCTAATGTCGGTCCTGGCAGCACACGCGACGGAGGAGACCTCTGGGGACGCCCATCTAGCACGCTCAAGACGCTCACGTCCATGAAGTGGCGCTGGCTCCGCAGGTGCTTGTCCAGAGCCGCCAGCTGCTGCCTCAGCGCGCAGAGCTCCCCGGCCTGCTGGGCGCTCGCTTCCTGCCGAGCAAGCTGCTCCTCCAGCTCCACCTCAAACACCTTCATCTGGGAAAGCAGCGCGGCGCGGTCCTTCTCCGCCTGCTTCCTGGCCTCCGCCTGCTCCTGGGTCAGACCGTCCACCTCCCTACGAAGAGCTGAAGATACGAAGCAAACAGGGAGGAGAGCCCCACGGATCAGGGCGGGTACTCGGACGGAAGCAGAAGCATGACACGTGCGCGGCGGGTGCCCCACAGACCCAGGGCCGCCCGAGGACAGAGCACGCCCAGGTCTAGCCTCCCTGGCAGCCCCAGCCCGAAGCCCGGCCAGGACGCGGCGTCGCTGAGGCTCCCACACCCCAAGGAAACAACAGGACGCCTCTGGGGGAGGTCATGCACTCGCAAGCCAGCATGAGCCCGTGTCTGGCCAGACACTAACCCTAACCCGAACAGCCACCACTGAGCCCAATACCCACGGAAAATAGTCGAGTACCTCAGAAAAAAGAAAAAAAATGACATCTTTTAAATTAAGACCGGCTAAAATAAAACACTTTAAAGCCTGAAAAAACCCTATCCTAGTTACTTCCAAGTGACACATTGGTTAATTTTCGAGAAAGTACGATGCTACGTAGTGTCCAGTGTAGAAAAAGAACGGTCACTTCAGACGTCCACGAGAGGGCGCACGAGCCCCGATGTAGGACGTGCTCCCTCTGCTCCCATGGCGTGAAGCCATTTCCGAGGAAAGGGGTCCAGCCATCGCACATCAAAAGCCAATCTAGGAGCACCTGCGTAACTCGGGGTTAAGCCTCTGCCTTCGGCTCAGGTCATGATCCCAGAGTCCCCGGATCGAGCCCCGCATCGGGCTCTCTGCTCAGCGGGGAGCCTGCTTCCTCCTCTCTCTCTGCCCGCCTCTCTGCCTACTTGTGATCTCTGTCTGTCAAATAAATAAAATCTTCAAAAAAAAAAAAAAAGCCGATCTAAAATTAACTGGATGATAAGGCCATAATCCAAGTGGAAACTGTAAATTCGTAAGCATCCGTAATAAAAGGAGGCTTGCCTCTGATGAATCCTTGAGTGTTCAACCTGTCCCCAAACTGAAATTTTAATCTCGTAAGTTCCACTACATTTTACTAGCTTTCTAAACTCCTTTTGTTTTATATAAATCTGCCAGTCTTTTACGCCAAACTAGCATGACCACGAACAGAGCGTTCCCAAGCAACTCCATGCTAGTAAGTCAGCACCTCGGGTGAGCCGCCTTCCACATGCAGTTAGGACAAGGTGCTCCCCACCCCTGCAGCCGGCCGGACAGCACCATCCCCAGGGGCCACGTGCTGGAGGAAGGACCCCAGCCACGGCACACGTAGCCCCATGCAGGTGGTGCTGCGGGGAAGGTGTCCTGTGGCCGTTCAGGCCGTGCTGAGGGCCACCCACGACATCGGGGCAGCCCAGGAGCTCCACTCGGGTTCCCCGAGCTCCTCCCTCGACACCTCCCAGGACAACGCATCTCCCAGCAGCCGTGGTTCCTGCACAGCAGCGCCGGCCGCCGCTCGGGGCTGCAGAAGGGATCACTGGACAGATGCTCGTGCAGTGGCACAGGTCAGTGCAGAAGGTAACACTGGCATTTTTGTTAACAGTTTGCCACAAAAGCCTTGAAGTACTTTTCCTCTTTAGTAAAAAACTGGGGCAAACTGGTGCAGACATAGCTCATCTCACACAGCAGTCACCAGACTGGTTTACAAACCCGAGTCCTCGTGGGCTAGGGGACCAGGAGTGCCTATGAAGGAAAACACAGCATCTTCAGATGTGGAAACGGACGGTCAGTCAGCAGGAATCCAGGGCACATCCGTGGTCCTGGGCAGTCCCTAACAGCCACGCTTTTCCGTAACGCCACCACGACGGTCTGAACATCCGTGACCCCCCAACATCCATACGTCGAGCCTCACGGTTGGGATCGGAGCCTTCCCAGAAGCTCCAGAGAGCACCAGGGCTTTGTGCGTGTGGGACACAGCCCAGAGGCGGGCACTCATCCTTTACCATGGACTTCCACCCTCCAGGACCGAGGGCACAGCGTCCGTCAGTTGTACCCATCCGCACTGTCCCAGGACTGCAGCCCGGGCAGACTAGTTGCCTTTGGGCTGCAGCAGCTCCTGGAGGCCAAAGGATCTGGACTGTTAAAGGGGACAGTAGGCACGACCCTGAGCGCAGCCACGAAACACACCTCACTCCTGCATACAGGCGAGGCTGACCCAAGTTTCTCCACAAGGTGCACCGACTGCCAAAAGCTCTTAGAAGTGGGTCAGCCTTCAGGAAGGCCCCAGGCAGAATCAGGAGCACACACTGGACTGTGCCGGGGCAGGGGCGTGGTCAGGGACGGTCAGGAGGTGCTGTGTAGACAGCAGCATTTTGTTTATAAAGATTTACTTCTTTGGAGAGAGGAGGGAGGAAAAGAAAGCGCGCGCACACACGCATGAGTGTGAACGGGGGAGGGGCAGAGGGAGAAAAGCGGACTCAGCGCTGTGCATGGAGTCCAGTGTGAGCCTGGGTCTCACCACCCTGAGATCATGACCAAGAGTCTGGCGTCCAACCGACGGAGCCACCAGGTGCCCCGGACAGTGTGTTAAACGACATAAGCATCTGCGAGTCCCAAACTGTGCAAATGGATGAATGGAAAGGAAGAGAGCTCAGAGAAGAAATTCAGGGGGCACTAACGATGTAAGAGGAAAGCCAGCCAAGGACCCCAGAGGATCCCAGAGGAGCGACAAAGGGAATGTGCAAAGACTGGCCGCACTCTCCCTTCTGCTAAGGAGTGTCAAGGCTCTGGGCACAGGGGTGACCAGAGACGCAGAAGGGCAGCTGTGGGCACAGCCTCGAGACATGTGCAGGAGCCGCCAGGCCCATGCACGGCAGAGCCACAGCAGATGGACCTCACGAAGCCAGGGCCACTCGGGCCTCAGGCAGGGAGCACAAGCCTGCTCCCCAGCTCAGGCCCTAGCTCTGAAGTCCTGACACCCTGGAAGTACACACATTCACGGGGGTAAACTCGGTGGACGGGGTGCGGGCCTGGCCACCCCGCAAACCTGGAGGCTGGTCCAGGAACACCTGAGAACGAGCAGGAGGGGCCCTGCACAGGCAATGGATCCACAGAGCACACGTGCTCGCTCCCCCTCCCCACACCGCCACATGCCTCCTCTCACACAGGTGCACCCCCACACACACGTGCTCATACAGGCTCACACGCAGGCTTGCTCTCCGGTGCACAGACACAGGTGCACACCCCAGCTCACAGCCTTGCTCACGCACACGCTTGCTAACACGCCTGCCCACATGCACACACGGTCTCACGCGTGAATGGAGCCTCGCTGGACACCAGCAGGGCTGGGCACCGGGCAGAGACGGGAACGGGGGAGAACGGGACAGGCTCAGCGCTGGGGAGCACAAGACAGTGGCCTGAAGGAGGAAGGAGCGAAGCCCGAAGGAGAACGGGACACACGGCTTCTGGGCAGCCGAGAAAGGTCCCTTCCACCCAGAGAGACACGGGAAGGAGAACAGGTCACCAGAAGAGCACAGGCGGACGGAGAGGCTGTGGGCACAGCCACGAGACACAGCAGGACACGACGTGGATCCCTCCTCGGAAGTCATGCTAATGTGAGATCCGCAGGAGACACACTTGAAGGCGGAAAAAGACTTAACGGGTGGAAATGACATTCAAGAGAAAAACAAAGCTCGGTTAAGTTTTCAACATCAGAAACTTACCTCAAAGAGTGGAAAGGGACAGAGATACGTACAGGTGGACAGCCGAGCAGGGAGAGGTGGGCACGATCACACACAGACCTTCCAGAACATCCCACGTAGGGGGAACCACGAGCCCCTGACAACTCCCTCCGCCTCAAGCAACCATGGCTCGTGGGACCTGCCTCTCAGCACGAGTAAGCCCGCGGCCCAGAGAGCTCACGGGACGAAGCAGGCCAGAAAGAATAAAGACAAGGCCGGAAACCCATGAGCAGAGGACACAGGACACAGCAATGACCAGCACCCCCGACAGCTGGTCGCGTACTGAGGGACGCCAAATGGAAAAGAAAAGTGACTTTCCCGAGCTGTTCGGGGTGGAAGAAGAACGGCTGAGGCTGTCCCACCAAGCAGACCTGTGCACCAGGATCCGACTGCCCCAGAACCCAGGCTGACCGGGGCCCCGGCGGGCGCACACACACGGGGATGCGTGCCAGTCGGCTGGTGGGGAGAGAAGCGCGGGAGAAGCCCAGCGAGCGAGACGCGCGGGTCCGGGGAAGGCCGGACCCACGAGGGCTGCTTCTCCCAGCTCTGCCCGGACGCCGCCACCCGCCACGCAACCGTCTGAACGCTTTGTGTTTTGACTGTTCGTACTTGAAATATTTTAAATACGAAAACTCTGATCACCTGAAATCACAACTTTCACAACTGCGTTTTCCTACTTCAGGTTCACATTACACGATTTTTAAAAAAAAATTTAAATAAAAATTTTCAGTAGCCCACATTTCCCCCCAGACTTGGTTATTTGCCTCAAACAGTCCAAAGCTCTTTTACTGGGAACAGCGACATTTCCAGCAGGCTCGTGCTGGCCAGAGGTGACACGGGCCTCACACAGGCGTCCACCCAGCCCGCAGCCAGCAGGACGACCCTGCCTCCCCGACAGGGCAGCAGCAGCAGAAGGGCCGCTGCACCAGCCTGCACGGGAAGGCCCTCCGCCCGGGGCTCCCACCGTCTTCCCCGGCCCTCCGCCACACTGAGCATCGGTAAACGGCGGCCACCCCTGCTCCCGCCCTCCCCGTCTCTGACCCCGGAACCAGCAACTCTTACCGGCTTCTCTCTCTTCCGCTTCCGCGGCCAAGGCCTCCTTCTGGGCGCACAGGATAGAGTTCTCCTCCTTCAGCTCTGCCTGCTGCTGGGCTGCCCACTGCAGCTGCTGCTTCAGGCTCTCCAGCTCAACTGCGAGGCCCTGCTCGGCCGTCTCCTTCTGGCCCAGCACCTCCTGCAGGCTGGCCTTCTCCACCTTGAACCCTTCGATGATGCCTGCGGAGACGCGGAGAGACCCAGCTCCTGAGGCTTTGCTGGCAGAGCAGAAGGATGGGCATCTCCGCGAGGGCATCCCAGCCCCAGAGAGATGTGGCCAGGGGACATGAGAGCTGCATGGTCACGCCTGCATTCCTGGATGGACAGCACAGGGCTGGCGCACCAGGAGGGCAGGGTGACACGCTCTGGAGCAGCCGTGTGTGAGACACCCCCACACCACGCGCCCAGCACATGAGACACTGTGACCACCACAAACCAGAAGTGTGGGGGCCTGTGGGGTCACGAATGTCGCTTCCTGGGGCAGGGAGGACTGACATGCATCTCCGCCCAGGAGGCCACTCAGGGCTGGCAGCCTGGGGAGCAGCTTGATGGCACCTTGTTTCACGGACGAAAGTCAGAGGCCTTCCCCCACATTATTTTAGTTCTACATTTTGCCTGTAAGACCTCTGTTAACACTGCCCTTCCCCACGCGCCTCGGTCCCGTGTGCCCCGCCGCCCTCCCCCGCCCGCGACCGGGGCTCACCCTGAGCCTGGTGCAGCTCTAGCACCAGCTGTTTCCGGGCCGTGCTCGCCTCCTCCAGGCGCTCCAGTAACTCCTGGTGCTTTCTAACCACCTGTGCGGTCTCCTCATTCTTACAGCTGAATTCCTTCTCAAAACGGCAATGGATCTGACGTGCTTCCTCCAGCTGTTAACACACACGGGGAAAATGAAACCGCACGTCAAAATAGAGCTTACGTTACCACCAACAGGACCAGGATTCTGGCACAGCAGAAATCTGACAAAACCACAAATATTCTGTAAGCAACGATATGATCTTCAGTACTGTGTCAATCACTAGACAAGTGACTCATTCAACAGTTTTTAAAAAAGAAAACTTCAAACACACACATTCAATGCAGCACAAAAAATTCACATGTTCATGAACTACTGATACGTCTGCCCAATGATGTTAAGGGAAAGGGCACTCCAAAGGTCACAAAAACTGTCCCTCAGGACCCTAGAATCCAAGCAGGGGTAACCACCTGGCACTCCACAGGGAGGGTGGGATGTGGAGGCCGTGGGTGGGAGGAAAGGCTCCTTGGGCCGGTCACCACGGCCGGCCGGGCGCCTGACAGGTTTCCACCGCCCACACCACCACCCCCGACTCAGTCACACCAGGGCCCTCTGGGTCTCCTCTGACACCACCCAGGCCTGGCTCAGTCCCAGGCCCCAATCTCCCCTTCCTCCCCTGCCCAGCCTGAAGCTCCCAGGCCACCTTCAGGCTTGGGGGTGGGGGGTGCCCAGACTAACCACTGAATTCAGACGCTTACACCCAGCTGTGCCGAGACACCCCTGAGCAGCTAGCTGGGGCCTCCCTCCACCTCCTCCACACTAACCCTAACTCCAGCTTCCCTAGACCCTGCCTCTGAGGGCATCCACTGGCGTCCCCCCCCCGAAAAGAGCCCCAAGGCTCCCTCTTCTCATACCTTCCCCAAGTGGGGAGAACTTACTCAAGGCTTTCTGGGATGTAAACAGCAATGTTTTGGCTAAAAATGCTTATTTTCTAATTGGGCTGAACAGAAGAAAGGAACTCTATACTGCTTTTCATAATTCATATTTAATGTCTTTCCTGTCTAAAATGTTTCGAAAGGTTAATGAACATAATTTCCTTTGCTAGTGATAAGCTCTAAACACACATCCAATGTAACATTAAATACTGCTGAAGGTAGAACAGAGTAAAGGCAAGAGATCGAACCATCTGTCCTTGGCCTGACACTCAGCTCTGACTTTCCATTCGCAGCAAACCTACGGCTTCCAGAATTTCAGTTCAGAAAAGACTTCTGCTTAGGAAAAACAGGAGAAAGTCGTTGGTAGCAACAGAAGATCAAAACAATATGAGAGGAAGGCAGGTGCACACCCAGAAGTGAGTTTCTGCTCTCAAATGCCCAAAGGAGTGAACAGCAAGAGAAGCCAGACCCACCTGGAAAGCGCCAAGGCCCCTTCTCACCCTGCAGGTGCCGCTCGAGAATGACCAACACGCGTGTGCTGTGCCCAGCAGAGCACCTGGGAGCTGTGCTACCCTCGCCTATCAAGCTCATGTCACTGAAACATTCAACTTGCCCACTGAGTCAGCCCGTCACCCTTCTCAGAAGACGAGCAATGCCGGGAGCCAACACAGGGCCGCGGGCGGACGGCGTGCGCAGCCGTGTCTCACCTGCCGGGTGGAGTCCAGAGCCAGCTCCAGCAGGCCATCCACCGCCAGGCCAAGGCTCCGGTAGAGCTTCCTAACTGGCTGCTCACACTCCAGCGAACTTTCTGGGCTCATGAAAAAGCTTTCACAGATGTGACTGCTAATTTCAGCCTCTGAAGACACCTCCGCACATTCAGGCAAAGTTCGGTCCAGCTCCAACAGGGCTGCCTCGGACGCAGGCCACGTCTCATCGAGCACTGGTGCTGCAAAGTGAGGAAACACAGAAACCTGCACACACACTGCGTGGCAAGCACGCTCGCACGACCAGTGCTGCTGCAGCACGAGCACACCCACGTCCCAAAGACAACGATCCGTCTCGAGCATCAGGAGCTCATCCAGCCCGGCCCCAGCAGGGAAGGAGGACAGCACTCAGCGCCCCAGCCCAGGGGCTGCAGGCACAGGGCTGTCCGGGCACTCACCTGCCAACAGGGCCTGGCCACTGGGCCGCGCATCAGGTAGGCCCTCGTCCGCCAGACAGAGCCCCACACGCTCACCGATCCGGCTCTTCAGGGTGACGGCAGCCCTCAGCGTCTCTCCAAACAAAGTGAGCAGCCTCCGCAGAGCGTCCCGGAGAGCTCTCCTGAACGAAGCACGGAGCAGACCCTAAGCCGGTCTGACTCAGACAAGAGGGGCACAGCCCAGGGGGCAGCTCTGCCAACGAGACCAAACCCTTGGGCTGCTGCTCTTCACTTTAAAAAGACATCATCTCATCGCCAGTTTTACCAAGCTCCTGTCCCTACTCACCGCCTTTCTATCCCTCAGGAGGAGAGCAGACACCAACATGGCCCTCCGTCCGGAGCACCGTGACCCCGTCCAGGACACGGCAGGGGGCAAAGTGCTGGAGCCGAGGCGGGGTTCTCACCGCTGGGAGATGCCAGGGCCCAGTGGGCGGAAGACAGGCTCCTCTGCCCCCAAGCATTCACATACTTCCATCCCCACCACCGGCCTGGAACTAGGTCTGCTCCCAACACGGGGACATGCCACTGAACGAAACACAGGGGAGCTGCCCCTTACAGAGCTGAAGGGCCGGGGAGAGACACAGGAAGAATGAGCGGGAAAGAAACAGTGGGACAGACGAGCGAGCGCAGGAACAGCCAGGGCCTCACGGCTCCCCGCGCTGCCCAGGCCACCACAGCGGACTGCGGAGACCTTGCGGACGGAGGGTGGGCAGGCACAGGACGAGAAGGCACTGTCGGGGAGCAGGCGGAGGCAGGCACGGGGTGACCGCGGACAGGGCGGGTCAGGGAGCTCAAGCAGAAACTCAAGTGAGCGTCAAAGCTGCCCCCTCCTCCCCGGGCCCGGTGCAGGCCCGGACGGCTGCGGTGCCCGCGGCGAACCCCGAGTGCGGAGCACGTGCGTGCTGGGGAGCGACACGGCAACGACATGGCGCGAACACGGGGAACCCTGTGCTCCCGCCGGTTTTGAGCTTAGAAACGACGCGCATCTGTAAGTCAGTGCACTGGCTGGGGCAGAAGTGACGTCGGACTCTGACGGCCGTTACCAGGAATTGCTGATCCCCTCAACCTGCTCTACGTGGGATTAAACCAGAAGCCACGGGTCCTTCATGGCAGAGGAGAAACCTGCCCCAGCCCGGCCGCCTACTTTAAATGTCGAGGCTCCTGGAGTCTTGAGATTCTGCCTCTTCACAAAACATTAAACTAAACTAAACTGAGGCAAACTGGGGCGCCTCTGCCTCCGGGTCAGGTCACGACTTCAGGGTCCCGGGATCCTGCCCCGCATCGGGCTCCCCGCTCACTCTCCTCCGCCGGCAGCCCCCTGCCTGTGCACTCTCTCTCTCTCATGAATAAGTTTAAAATCTTTAAAAAATACCGATAAAAAATAAAGGAACTGAGGCTTCTGAGGCCCCGACCTGCCCCCATCCCCTCCACAGACACTCGGAACCGCCCAGTACCGGGTCCTGCCCCAGGGCTATCTTCGGCTCTTCTCTCGGCCCAGCTGTCCTCCTCCTCTGACCCACCGAACCCGCCTCTGCTGGTCTTCCGAGGCCCCGCACAACCCCCAAGCTTCCGTGCTCTCCGCGCCCAGAACGAGCTGCGAACCGCAGTTCCAGAGCATCCTGAAGCGGCTGAGGGCCGACGGGCCGGCTGCGGAGCTCGGTCGCTCAGACGTGCGGGCCGCCCGCTCGCGCTCACACCGTCCGCCAGCGCGTCTGGGGTGCGTGCCACGCCGGCTCGGGATGCAACCGGCCCAGAGACGCAGCCCAAGGGGGTTTCGGAGAAGCCAGCCCCTCACCTTCTGTCAGGGCGCTGCCACACGCTCGGGAAATCACGGAGCCGATACAACAGCTTTTGCTAAGCCCGCTCAGTGGAACAACACTCAGGCTTGTACACAGAAGCCTCGTAGACCTCTTCATGACCACCACAGCGAATGAGACCATTCTACCTTCTAGCTGAATCCACTTGGGTAGCATTTTTTAACAGGCTGAACTAGGATCTTTCCCTTTTATTTAAAAAGGACCAGGACAGGGGTGCCTGGGTGGCTCAGTGGGTTAAGCCGCTGCCTTCGGCTCAGGTCATGATCTCAGGGTCCTGGGATCGAGCCCCGCATCGGGCTCTCTGCTCAGCAGGGAGCCTGCTTCCTCCTCTCTCTCTGCCTGCCTCTCTGCCTGCTTGTGATCTCTGTCTGTCACATAAATAAATAAAATCTTTAAAAAAAAAAAGGACCAGGACGAATGAGAAAGTGCCCAGATTTACCGACAACAGCAAACCAGCTGCTTATATCCTACACGAGTCACCAAAAAACCTGCTAAAATCCTCAATTTTCAAATCTAACAAGTAAAGGCCCCTAAACAAAACCAAAAAACTTACAGTTTCTGCTATTGCAAAGAGCCAGGATGCTGGGCCGGGCAGGGAGTGGGGCGATCTATTACAAATGTAAGCACTCCAGTCACCTCCAGCCCTCTAGCCGGCCTTTTCTGTTGTTATTGGTTTTTTTTTTTTTTTTTTTTTTTAAGATTTTATTTATTTATTTAAGAGAGAGAGAGAGCGAGCGCGCGAGCGCGCATGAGTGAGGGGAGAGGCAGAGGGAGTAGGCTTCCCACTGAGCAGGGAGCCTAACCAGCCCCTCTAGCCAGTCTTTTCTGAGGTAGGACAGGACAACCAGGAAAGTCCTTCCTGGCAATGAGGGACAAGACCATTAAATAGGAAACACTTGACTCTTGACCAGCAATGCTTTCAAGGAAAGATCTTGATCAAAAGGGAGAAGTGTAGGGCGCCTGGGTGGCTCAGTGGGTTAAGCCACTGCCTTCGGCTCGGGTCATGATCTCAGGGTCCTGGGATCAAGTCCCGCATCGGGCTCTCTGCTCAGCAGGGAGCCTGCTTCCCTCTCTCTCTCTCTCTCTCTCTCTCTCTCTCTGCCTGCCTCTCCGTCTACTTGTGATCTCTCTCTGTCAAATAAATAAACAAAACCTTAAAAAAAATTTTGTATTTAAAAAAAGGGAGAAGTGTAACAATTAATAAAAGAAAACCTTGACTAGAATGGGGTCAGGATGGGGCGCTTGGGTGGCGCCTGAGCATCTGCCTCAGGCTCAGGTCATGATCTCAGGGTCCTGGGATCGAGCCCCACATCAGGCTCCCTGCTTGGGGGAAAGCCTGCTTCTCCCTCTCCCTCTGCCCCTGCTTGTGTTCCTTTCTCGGTGTGTCTCCCTCTGTCAAATAAAAAAAGATCTTTAAGGGGGGGGGAGGGGGAAAAAGAACGGGGTCAGGAAGCTGGGTGGAGGAGGGGGGGGGGGGGGGGGAAACTCTGAAGCTCTTCTAGCTGCGTATCTCTCAGGAAGAGGGGCACGTTGACTATACACGACATAAAGATCCCAGCAGGAGGAAGGAGGGTTTCCTTCTGCCCAGCAACAACTCAGCCAATGGGAGCCAATCACAACTCAGCCAATGAGAAACCACTACACTTTCAATACACAGTTTCCTCCAATGGACTTTCTGTTTACAACAGTCCTAGCCCTCCTTCCATCTATAAAGGAGCTTCCTCTGTTCCCCAGACTTGTTTATGGTGATGCACTAGCTAGCTTGTCCTGGACTGCAATTCTGTTATTCCAGAATAAACCCACCATTTAAAGATTCCTTAAGAAATTAAAAATGGAGCTACCCTATGACCCTATAATTGCACTACTGGGTATTTACCCGAAAGACACAGATGCAGTGAAAAGAAGGGCCATCTGTACCCCAATGTTCATAGCAGCAATGGCCACAGTTGTCAAACTGTGGAAAGAACAAAGATGCCCTTCAACAGACGAATGGATAAGGAAGATGTGGTCCACATACACTATGGAGTATGATGCCTCCATCAGGAAGGACGAACACCCAACGTTTGTAGCAACATGGACGGGACTGGAGGAGATTATGCTGAGTGAAATAAGTCAAGCAGAGAGAGTCAATTGTCATATGGTTTCACTTAGTTGTGGAGCATAAGGAATAACATGGAGGACATGGGGAGATGGAGAGGAGAAGGGAGTTGAGGGAGATTGGAAGGGGAGGTGAACCATGAGACTGTGGACTCTGAGAAACAAACGGAGGGTTTTGGAGGGGAGATGGTGAGGGGTTCGGTGAGCCTGGTGGTGGGTACTAAGGAGGGCAAGTATTGCATGGATGTGGGTGTGGTGCATAAACAGTGAATCTTGGAACATTGAAAAAATAAAAAAATAGAAAAAAAAATTAAAGTTTTATTAGTTAAAAAAAAAAAAAGAAAAAGAAAAAAAGAAAACAAACCAAAAAACCTGGCAATTTAATTTTAAGGTTAACTCCACATTACAGCATCAAATTTTGTAATCTGGCAAAATGTGAAAATTTGGCAAAGTGAGTGGTGGGTATATGGGTATCGTACATTACTCAGTACTTTTCTTGATGTTTAAAGTGTTTTTAAATGAGAAGAATAATGTGACACAGGGTTCCATCCTGCCAGGTATTACCATGCACTTGGGCAGCTCTGACAGAGGAATGTGTGACTGACCTTTCACGGTCAGACAGATCAATGTCGGACTTCAGCATCGAGATGAGATTTGTGCCTTCCTGGTTTTCCCTTTCACGCCTTTGCTGGAGCTTCTCCAGTTCAGAATGGCACTCTTCTACTTCTTGACTTAAGGATAAAATTTGGTCTTTCAGCTGTTGAGGAAAAATTGTTACAGCTTTATTTAGAACAATTTAGTCAGGAATAAACTTCTGTAAGAAACACTCATCATCCTAGTTAATAGTGATTAAAGGTGAAAATTAATAATTTTCTAATTACTAATTTTACTAATTACAGGGGTCCCCCCCAACCCCGCCATTATTCACTGCCTACAAAAACAGAACACATAAACATTCTAGCCTGCCCCAGGCACCGAGGGAAGGGGCAAACTCACCAGAGATTACTCTCACAAGTAAGAACTCAAAATCTCTTTTATATTCATTCAGAATAAATACCAGTTTCTAGACAAGTGAAGATCATTCTTATTTATTTCTCCTTGAAAAAGGAGCCAACAAAGGCGCCTGGGAGGCCCAGTCAGCTGAGCATCCAACTCTGGGTTCTGGCTCAGGTTGTCATCTCGGGGTCCTGGGATAGAGCCCCAGTTAGGCTGAGCTCAGAAGAGAGTTTGCTTGCGATTCTCTCTCTCCCTCTGCCCCTCCTACTTGTGCACACGCACACTCTAAGTTAAATAAATAAGTCTTTAAAAAAAAACAGTCAACAATCATGGGGTCTCAGTGAGCCGGCGGGGTGGGTGGCACCAGCTACCCTGGGCACCCCTGGCTACTGTGGGCTCCCCAGGTTGCCCGAGCACTGAGCACAGGTCACTGCAGTTTTGTTGTGCAGCTTAGTGAAGTGACAAGTATGTCTTCCCAGCAATGCAGTGACCTGAGCCCAGAGCCAACCACAGTGATTTCTCAGGGCTGGCTGAGTTGATGGTCAAGAACCCGGGCATCGTCCCCACAGAGAACATGACAGAGCGTGACTACGCACACAGAGCCAGGCGGACCGCAGGCCTGTCCTCCACTGCTACCAAGAATCAGGAACAATGGGCGTCCACAGCGGCCGATGCGTGACACGCCTAGTGTCTCGAGCTCTAGAATCGGACGCATGGAGCCCGGAAGCAAGGGGACTCCAGGTGCAGAGCCCAGCTGGCGAGGACAGCTCTGCAGCCAGGAGTAGGAAAAGAAGGTTTGCGTGGAGTAGGAAATGGGTAAGAGAACCCCAGGTGGGACCCATAAAACGTCAGCAGTACAAACAGCAAACAAAAACCAGAGAAGAGAAGTGTAGTTTTGAAACCCTGTACCAGGAGCAAAAGAAAACTGTAAAAACCATTTCAATGCCGTGCTTGTAGGGAAATTAGAAAAAAACAGTTCCACAAATCACCGGTGACATCACACGAAGATGGCAAACAATGACCAGAAACAAACAAAAGAGAAGAGAGGATGCTGCCAGCTCACGAAACCGGTGCCCAAGACGGCTCCAGGCCTGGCTTGGCCCCGCCGGTGGGGTGTGAAGAGAAGGCAGACGCCCGCCAGACGTGCAGCACGGAGCTCTGCTCCCACGGGCGGCTGCGGGCTGAGGCGGCAGCACCGTGAGGGCAGCGGCACAGGCCTCCACAGAGGCTGAGTCCACTTTTGAGCCTATGGGACACAGACTTTTCCCTCCGCCGGTCCTGCTCCCTCCTTTTCACAAAAACTGTATGGTGACTGGAAAAACCTAACAGACACATCTCTAGTGACACTGATCAAAAAAGAGGAAAGTACAAATAAACATCCTAACAAAACTTTTTCTGGGGTGCCTGGGTGGCTCAGTCAGTTAAGCGGCTGCCTCCAGTTCAGGTCATGATTCTGGGGTCCTGGGATCGAGTCCTGCCTCAGGCTTCCTGCTCATTGGGGAGCCTGCTTCTCCCTCTCCCTCTGCTTGTGCTCTCTGTCAAAAAAGTAAGTAAAATCTTAAAAAAAAAAGGTAAAAAAAAAAGAAAAACAGTATTATTACACTCCTGAAAGGTCTACATTGTGAGACTATCTCAAAAAATAGTATACATAGGGGCACCCGGCTGCTAGAGTATGTGACTCCTGATCTCAGGGTCCTGAGTTCCAGCCCCACGCTGTGTGTGGAGCATACTTTAAGAAAAAGAAAAGAAAACAGTAAAACTGCACATACTAAACTTACAAAGGAATAACAAAAAACCATTTCAAACCCAATTCAAAAACCATCAAAGAACCTGAACAGACATTTCTCCGAAGACAAATGAATGGCCAATAAGCTCCTGAAAAGATGCTCGTCACTCACCACCAAGAACACACACACCAGAACCACGATGTGGTCCCACCTCACGCCCGCTGTGACGTGGTCATAAACAGAGAGAAGACGGTGAACAGATGACGGCTGTGGAGAAACCGTAGCCCCGGGCGCAGCTGGCAGGGACATGTGATGGGGCAGCACCAGGAAGACAGCACGGCGGCTCCTCAAGACAAAAACAGAGTCACCAGGACCCAGCAATCCTGTTCCTAGACGCACACAGCCCGAACCGACGGCAGGGACTGGGACACGACTTGTACACACGGGGACATTCACAGCAGCTAGGACGGAGAAACCACCGCCCAGACGTCTATCAGCAGCCGAATCCATGGAGAGAGCAACACGACACGCATCTCCATGCGACAGAACCGTCACTCTGCCACAAACACCGAGATGCTCTGACCACACTGCACCACGGCGGGCCCCGCGGACGTTGCACCGAGAGACTAAACCAGACGCAGGAGGACTAATGCCGCTGACCCCATCACAGGACGCCCCGGAAGCGGTCAGATTCAGCGGCACAAGGCAGAAGAATGGGTGCCAGGGGCTGGAGGGAGGGAAAGGGGAGCTCGTGGCAGTGGGGGTAGTTTCTGCTTGCGGTGAGGATGAGCAGTTCTAGAAACGGACAGCAGTGATAGCTGCACAACCCTGTGAACAGGGTTTAATGCCCCTGAACTGTAACACTTAAAAATGATTAAAATGGTAAATTTTATGTTATGCACATTTTACCACACACACAAAAAATAAAAACAAAGAAAAGACACTTGCCACATACCCGTAGAATTTGGTCATTCTTCTCCTGAAGCTGCAGAAACAAAGACTCTTCCTCTTTTCGGTGAAGAGACTGTGCCTGCTCAGACTCCAGCCTAGGGATCTCCTCCTGTTCATGCAAAGCAGCTTTCTTTTCACCTTCAAATTCACCCTGTATAAAAGTACATTGTTAACAAAAACAACAAAAATGTCACTCTAAGCTCTAAAAGTTATGCTTGTTCCATTTCCTTGTTGTTTGCTAAAACACAGTTCATTGAACAAGTATTTATTGAGTCCACCCTGTGCCAAGAGCAGTGATCAAAAGGGACAAAGCCACTACCCACAGTGAACACGTATTCAATGTGCTTCCCACAGAGAACATCAAGAGGACAGCTCGTTTCTTTTCCAAACGATCACATTAAGAAATTACCCATCACCACGATACCATGACCATCAGAATCCAAGATATTTAGAAACAAAGTTCCTTTGGTTTCAAAACATAAACCCTATTTCTTCCTAAATAATAAACACTGTTCTTCATAAGGTTCACCTAACAAATTATATTAATGAAATAAGCTTTTTTTTTTTTAAGGCCATCGTTTAAAAAAAAAAAAAAAAATATATATATATATATCTATATATATATATATATAGATATATATATAAACCCGATATATATATATTATTTATTTATTTATTTGAGAGAGAGAATGAGAGAGAGCAAGCACGAGATGGGGGAAGTCAGAAGAAGAAGCAGACTCTCCACCAAGCAGGGAGCCTGATGCGGAACTCCATCCCTGGACTCCAGGATCATGACCTGAGCTGAAGGCAGTGGCTCAACCAACTGAGCCCCCCAGGCATCCTTAATGAAATAAGCTTTAAACAAACAAACCAAGAAACAAAACAACAACTACAGAGGCAGCACTTTCAAAATGGCAGAATAAGGACATCCAAGAACACATTCCTCTATAACAGCACTGAGAACACTGACAGAAACTGTCAAAACGCAACTTCTTCAGAGCTCTGGAAATTAAGAAAGACTTGTAACAATCCAGAGTTTACTAAAAACAAAGTTTGAGTCTCCATCCAAACAGCAGCTATGAGGTACTTAAACTTGCCCTAATCCCATCCCTCCCACCTCTGGTAGAGCTCTGCAAACAGCCTCCCGCAGTCATAAGGGTTGGGGGGGACCAGAGGGGTTCGGAGCTCCTCAAGAGCACCAGCCCGCCAACTATCACCAACTGACCTATCCTGCAGCTCACTAAGAAGCTCCATTCTCAAGGATGAGCTCACAGAGCTCACTCTGTCAACAACCCTACTGCCAGGCCACTCACCACAATCAACCAACAGCTACTGCTTAACATCACAGTGGCCTGAAACCCATTAACTTGTCGCAGTTGGGGCCAATAAGAGGTAAACAAAAAAGCTTAAAAGGAAACACTAGAGAATGAGGTGTCAACAGGGAGCTCTGAAAGGCTCCAGCATATTCCTGGGAATTTAGGAAGCAAGTATAGGGCTATGTACCTATCAAGGAAAAGCTGAGAAGGCTCTAACACTCCTTGTTGACCTCACACTCACACAAAGTCAAAGCTAAGGAAGAAACCGCCCACCAGTGCACTGGAAGCATGCCCCAGCCAGAGCCCCTCGGTAAAGAGACAGATTAGAAAGTGGAACTGTAGAGCTATTCTGGAGCTGAGAGGTACAATTACTGAAATGAAAAATTCACTAGAGAGGCTCAACAGTAAATTCAAATGGGCAGAAGGATCAGCAAATATGAAGATAGATCAAATAGGACTATTTGGAATAAAATAGGAATAAAAAGAAAAAAGAATAAAGAAAAGTAAATAGAAAAATGCCTTGGGTGTCCAACTCTTGATTTCAGCTCAGGCCATAATCTCAGAGATTCTCTTTTTCTATCCCTTTCACCCTCACCCTGCTCGCGTGCTCACTCTCTCGTTCTCTCTTTAAATAAATAAATAAGTAAAATCTCTAAAAAGAAGAAAGAAAGAAAAGTAAACAGAGCTCCCAAGGCCTGTGGGACACTCTCAAAGACCAACATACATGTGATGGGAGTCGCAGAGGAGAGGAGAAAGGAATAAGGTAGAAAGCCTGCTTTATGATATAATGGCCAAAAACCACAACTTGGATGAAAAAATATTAATCTACAAACACAAGAAGCCCAATTAACCCCAGGTAGGATAGATTCAAAGAGATCCACACCAAGAGACATCCCAATTAAACTGTGAAGGACTAAGAAAAAGAATCTTGAAAGCAGAAAGATGACAGAGGAATAGGGCACCCTATTTCAACCGGTCCCCTGAACTGAGCTGGATATCTGCCAGACCACTCTGAACACCCACGAAATCAGCCTGAGATGCAAGAAGGTACATCTGGATTCCTACAAATGGAGTGTCTCAGGCAGCTGGTCTCAAGGTCTGAAGCGGGGAGCTGAGACTCTATGCGTAGATATCGGAAGATAATCAGAAGGGGGAGGGAGTGGGATCCTGTACCACTGGAGCAGTGCCTGGACCTGGAAGCAAAGGGAGGGAATGCTGCCGTGGGGCCCACAACCCAGGAAGCTAAGGTGTTTAACAAAACAGACAGTAATGGAGACAGTGCGGCCTGGAGAGCTCACTGGAGAACAGACGGCGATCTCGGTCTTCTGAGACAGGAGCCTGGACATAGTCACTTCAGCTCTCTCAGAAGAGATGGGAAAGCCACCTGGGGAAAGCCGCAAGAGAACAAAAGCCCCCCAAAACTGGTTTTCACTGAGCCCACTCCCACCTCCGGGCATGGCAACGCTGCCCAAACAGGGTTGCCTGAATAACAGCACAGCAGGTCCCTCCCCCAGAAGACAGGCTGGAAGACCAAGAGGTCGACAACCCTAAGGTCCCTATAAAACAGGTGCATCTTGCTTGGGTCGTGGTCAATACTTTGGACCTCGTGCATTCCCTCAACCACCACTCAACAGAATGACTACGAGGAGGAACCCCCAACACAGGAATAATTCAGAGACTGTGGCTTCTGCCACAGAACTAATGGATATGGACATAACCAAATGTCAGAAACTGACATCAGAGTAACATTATGAAGGCGAGCTCTAGGCTTGAGAAAAATATGGACAATATAGAATCTCTAAGGGCAGAAATGAGATCTAATCAGGCCGAACTTAAAAATGCTATAAATGAAATGCAGCCTAAACTGAATACTCCGACTGCCAGGGTAAAATAGGCAGAAGAATGAATTAGTGACCTAGAGGATAAGATGACAGAAAAGAAGGAAGCCAAGGAGGCCTGGAAAAACAGCTTAAAGCCCAAGAGATCAGACTAAGAGAGATTAATGACCATGAAACGTTCCAATGTCAGAACTGTTGGGATCCCTGAGGGGGTGGAGAGAGGTCCAGAAAATAAATTTGAGCATATCGTAGCTGAGAACTTCCCTAATCTGGGGAAGGAAACAAGCAATCGTATCCAAGAGGTGGAGAGGACCCGTCCCAAGATCAACGAGAACAGACCAACACCACAACATATAATAGTACAATTTGCAAATCTTAGATCCAAGGAAAAAATCTTAAAAGCAGTGAGGGGGAAGAGATTTCTTACGTCCAGAGTGAGGAACATCAGAAGAACATCAGACCTGTCGACAGAGACCTGGCAAGCCAGAAAGGGCTGGCAAGACATATCCAGGGCACTAAATGAGAAGAACATGCCACCAAGAAGTCTTTATTCAGCAAGGCTCTCATTCAGAATGGACGGACAGACAAGGAACTTCCAAGACCGGCAAAAACTGAAAGAGTATGTGACCACCAAGCCGGCCCTGCAAGAAATATTACGGGGGGGGGGGGGGTTCTATAAAAGGAAAAGGCCCCAAGAGTGATATAGAACAGAAATTTACAGAGACAACCTATAGAAACAAGTGTAAGGGCCTGCCCCCCCCCCAGAGTAACTAGCTTGTGGACCCCGGAAGTAGGGGCGGGGCGGGCCGGGTGAAGACGTCCAATCGGTGTGGCGTGGGTATATCCACTGGGTGAATTAGGATTCAATCGGCTACCTGTGTAGGGGCGGGGCTCAACCACCCCCATAAAGGTTGGTCTGCGAGGCTGGCGAGAGGAGTGGAAGGAGAGCTGTCAGAAGAAGAAGAAGGAAGCAGCAGCAGCAGAAGAGTCGGCGGGAGCAGCAGAGAGGGGAGCGGCAGGAGCAGCAGAGAGACGAGTCGATGGGAGCAGCAACAGAAGAGTCGGCGGGAGCAGAAGAAAGAGAGCTGTGACAGCTCTTGTAAGAGCTGTGAGAGTGTGACAGCTCTTGTCAGAGCTAGACGAGCCACCAGTGGCCCCGAGCCGCCGGCAGCTCGGACGCCTGCAGCCCCGCGCACACCGCGGCTTCAGCAGTGGCGCCGCGAGGAGCAGCGGAGCCACCAGCACTCCAGCAGCAGCCGAGAGGCCAGCGTTCCCGACACCAGCGTTCCCGACACCAGTGGTCCCGACACCAGCGTTCCCAACACCAGCGGCCCCGCTGACACACAGCAGGGAACGGCCTGACGCCAGCAACCTCGCTGCGAACGGCCTCGCTGCCAGGAGCGGCCTTGATACCCTGAGCCGCAGCCTCGCTGGAGCTGCGCCATTCCGGGGAGCGGCTTCCTCTGGAAAGAGGCTTCCTCGGTGAGCAGCCCTGTGGGAGGCAGCATCGTCAGGAAAGAGGCTTCCTCCAGAGCGGCCTCTTTTTGTGAGCAGCCTTTCCAGGGAGCAGCCCTAAGGAGCGACCTCATCAGCTGCGGCCTCATCCTGGGAGTGGCCTCGTCCAGAGTGGCCTCATCTACAGAAAGGCCTTATCCAGAGCAACCAGGTTGGGAGCGGACTTGCCAGGGTCATCGTCGTCACCTTTTCGTAAGAGACAGCCCTGACCGGTCAGTTTGATTTTTGATGCTTGGCGTGAAATAAAGCTTTGTTTGATTTTTGCTTTAATCAGTCTCGTTCTTTGATCACGGACCCTAACACAAGGACTTCACAGGCAACATAATGACAATAAAATCATGTCTTTCAATAACCACTCTCAACGTGAACAGCCTAACTGCTCCCATGAAACAGCACGGGGTTGCAGACTGGATGAAAAGACATGACCTATCCATACGCTGTCTATAAGAGACTCATTCTGAACCTAAAGATACATTCAGACT